TTAATCTTTTGTAGACTATGTCAACCAGTCTACGACAGTGGCTGAGTAAGCCATGTAATATAATTTCTATAAATTTGCTTCTTTAAATACAATGTTTCATTAAAATTAAAATTGTTATTCCTTATTCGATGTAATAGGAAAATGTGATTAAACGGGGGGGGCGCCAATTTTATGGTTCGTCCCCGGGCGCAAAATATCCTAGCTACGCCTCTGGTTGGAGAGTAAACTCACTACAACATTTACAATTCTAGTGTAGTGTATAGTGTAGTGTATAGTGTAGTGTAGTGTATAGTGTAGTGTATAGTGTAGTGTATAGTGTAGTGTGTAGTGTATAGTATAGTGTAGTGTATAGTGTAGTATACTAGTTCAGCACTAACTGGTTGTGTGTTGGAGAGTAAACTCAGTACTACATTTACACATTCTAGTGTAGTGTATAGTGTAGTATGTAGTGTATAGTGTAGTGTATAGTGTAGTGTATAGTGTAGTGTATAGTGTAGTCTATGTTGGAGAGTAAACTCAGTACAACATTTACAATTCTAGTGTAGTGTATAGTGTAGTGTATAGTGTAGTGTGTAGTGTATAGTATAGTGTAGTGTATAGTGTAGTATACTAGTTCAGCACTAACCGGTTGTGTGTTGGAGAGTAAACTCAGTACAACATTTACACATTCTAGTGTAGTGTGTAGTGTAGTGTATAGTGTAGTGTATAGTGTAGTGTATTGTGTAGTCTATATTGGAGAGTAAACTCAGTACAACATTTACACATCCAAGTACCGTGACGTTTCGCCAGTAATCACAACAACAACAACAGTCACAACAGCAACAACCACAACAACAACAGCATCAACCACAACAACAGCCAGTAGCATCATCAAGTGACAGCCAGAGTTGTGGAGACATCCTCCCCCTCCTGTTTCGTTCTTAAATAGACACGGGCCGGGATAAATGTGAATGCGATGAAAGGAATAAGCGGTCGTACGTACGGCTGCCATGGCGTAGCATAATTACCATTATCGTCACCGCCACCACACGTGGAGTCATTGGGATGCTGCTGGATACTGCTTTTAGAGCAGGGGTTCTTCTTAACCTTGACTGGAGCCTTGCAACCAATCAACATCACTCAAACTCAGCCCACTGACTGGATGACAGCAGAGCCACAGCCAATCAACATCAATCAAACTCACATCTCAATGGGGGGCCTTTACACCCGGGTCAGATACAAACAAAATATTTGAGTTTTGAGTTATGGAGGCTTTGATGTGAGCAGAGCTCTGGCCTGGGCGTCAGCGTGTGTGGAGGGGGGGGCGGGGGGCTAATTAAAGGGGCAAATGGCTCTTCTGCCGCTCGGTTTTCTCACGATCAGCGGGTTTTCACTCCGCGGTGTGGCGTTCGCGTTGAAACATCATCCTCACGCTCCCGCTGCTGAGCAGTCGAAATGTCGCGTGAAGCGGGCGGAGGGAAGTTAATCCCCGCTCGCTTGAGCCGAGTCACAGGATAGCTTTGCTCAATTAACGGGATAAATTGCCCCTTCGGTGGCGAGGCGTGCGGGGGGAGATTATAAAGTCAGAGCCGACAAAGGGCCTCGGGACAGAGAGATAACGCGGTACAACGCAACCCCTGTGTGTACGTGATAGACGTTCTCGCTCGCTCGCTCTATCACTCGGTCACTCACTCACTCACGAGCTCACGAGCTCACTCTTTCACTCACTCGTTAGCTCACTCGCTGGCTATCTCACTCTATCACTCACTAGCTCACTCTATCACTCACTCTACCACTCACTAGCTCACTCTATCACTCACTCACTTTATCACTCACTCGCTCACTCACTCACTCACTAGCTCACTCACACGCTCTCTCACTCGCTCACTCACTCACTAGCTCACTCGCTCACTCACTCACTAGCTCACTCGCTCACTCACTAGCTCACTCACTCACTAGCTCACTCACTCACTAGCTCACTCACTCACTAGCTCACTAGCTCACTCACTCACTAGCTCACTCACTCACTAGCTCACTCACTCACTAGCTCACTCACTCACTAGCTCACTCACACGCTCTCTCACTCGCTCACTCACTAGCTCACTCACTCACTAGCTCACTCACTCACTCACTAGCTCACTCACTCACTAGCTCACTCACTCACTCACTCACTAGCTCACTCACTCACTCACTAGCTCACTCACTCACTAGCTCACTCACTAACTAGCTCACTCACACGCTCTCACTCGCTCACTCACTCACTAGCTCAATCACTCACTAGCTCACTCACACGCTCTCTCACTCGCTCACTCACTCACTAGCTCACTCACACGCTCTCTCGCTCACTCACTCACTCACTAGCTCACTCACTCACTAGCTCACTCACTCACTCGCTCACTCACTCACTAGCTCACTCACTCGCTCACTCACTCACTCGCTCACTCACTCACTCACTAGCTCACTCACTCACTAGCCCACTCACTCACTCGCTCACTCACTCACTAGCTCACTCACTCACTCGCTCACTTACTCACTAGCTCACTCACTCACTCGCTCACTCACTCACTAGCTCACTCACTCGCTCACTCACTCACTCGCTCACTCACTCACTCACTCACTCACTAGCTCACTCACTCACTAGCTCACTCACTCACTCGCTCACTCACTCACTAGCTCACTCACTCACTAGCTCACTCACTCACTAGCTCACTCACTAGCTCACTCACTCACTCACTAGCTCACTCACTCACTAGCTCACTCACTCACTAGCTCACTCACTCACTAGCTCACTCACTCACTAGCTCACTCACTCACTAGCTCACTCACTCACTCACTAGCTCACTCGCTCACTCACTCACTAGCTCACTCACTAGCTCACTCACTCACTAGCTCACTCACTCACTAGCTCACTCACTCACTAGCTCACTCACTCACTCACTAGCTCACTCACTCACTAGCTCACTCACTAGCTCACTCACTCACTAGCTCACTCACTAGCTCACTCACTCACTAGCTCACTCACTAACTCGCTCACTCACTCACTCACTCACTAGCTCACTCACTCACTCACTAGCTCACTCACTAGCTCACTCACTCACTAGCTCACTCACTCACTAGCTCACTCACTCACTAGCTCACTCACTCACTCACTAGCTCACTCAATCACTAGCTCACTCACTAGCTCACTCACTCACTAGCTCACTCACTCACTAGCTCACTCACTCACTAGCTCCCTCACTCACTAGCTCACTCACTCACTAGCTCACTCACTCACTAGCTCACTCACTCACTAGCTCACTCACTCACTCGCAGAATAATCCGCACCCGCAGCCCCTCCGCTGTGCCTCCCCGGATCTGCGCGGTCTCCTCCCGTTCCTGATGCGGGCCGCAGAATCTTCGCAACCCGCTCCGGTGTATCCCCAAGTTGTTGTTGTTGCTGAGTTGTTGTTGAGTTGTAGTTGTTGAGTTGTAGTTGTGTAGTAACCAACACCATCATCGCCACCACCACAACCATTATCATCATTACCACCACCACAACCATCAGCATCATCACCACCATCACCACCATCATCATCACCACCACCACTACCATCATCACCATCACTACCACCACAACCATTATCATCACCACCACCATCATCACCATCATCACCATCACCACCACCATCACCACCATCATCACTACCACCACAACCATTATCATCACCACAACCATCATCACCACCACAACCATCATCACCACCATCACAACCACCACCACCACAACCACCATCACCACCACCACCACCATCATCACCATCACTACCACCACAACCATTATCATCACCACAACCATCATCACCACCACAACCATCATCACCACCATCACCATCACCACAACCATCATCACTACCATCATCACCATCACCACCATCATCACCATCACTACCACCACAACCATTATCATCACCACAACCATCATCACCACCACAACCATCATCACCACCATCACCATCACAACCACCACAACCATCATCACCACCACCACCATCACGACCACCATCATCACCATCACCACCATCACTACCACCACAACCATTATCATCACCACAACCATCATCACCACCACAACCATCATCACCACCACAACCACCACAACCACCACCACCATCACGACCTCAGCACTGTCAAGGCCTCAGTGCAGCTCCTGCCACCGCCGTCTCTCCCAGCGTCTCTCCCAGCGTCTCAGCGTCTCTCCCAGCGTCTCTCCCACCGTCTCTCCCACCGTCTCAGCATCTCTCCCAGCGTCTCTCCCAGCGTCTCTCCCCCACTCATGAACCCGAGACCCCTCTGGTCATCGTCACCACCACCATGGTCTATCCACTGCTGGATGGAGATCAATGTGGTGATTATGATGACGTCTCTATCCTGCGTGTGTGCGCTAATCCACGTGGTGGTGGTGGTGGTTGGTAGTTGGTAGTTGGTGGTGGATGGTTGGTGACAGTGGATAGTGATGGGTGGTGGTTGGTGGTGGTGGTGGTGGTTGGTGGTGTTTGTGTGAGTGAGTGGTTGTATAGTTGTGGTGGTGGTTGATGGTGTTTGTGTGAGTGAGTGGTTGTGTAGTTGTGGTGGTGGTGGTTGGTGGTGTTTGTGTGAGTGAGTGGTCGTGTAGTTGTGGTGGTGGTTGGTGGTGGTGGTTGTGTGAGTGATTGTGTAGTTGGGGTGATGGTGGTTGGTGGTTGTGTGAGTGAGTGGTTGTGTAGTTGTGGTGGTTGGTGTTGGTGGTTAGCGCTGTGCTACAATCCCGGCCACCCGAATTCTGGGCCTCCTCCCCTAGGTCGACTCAGCATTAAATGAGTACCTGGTGCGGTGTGTAAACATCGCCACAAGGGAGACAAAGGCGGCCGGGCGTGCATGATGCTGGTCACCCACCCCCTCGTGTGCCACGGTGCCGGCCTTCATACGCGCTGCTGCTACTCGCCATAGCTCACAGCACTTTCCCCTAGAGTCTGTTAAGGCTACCTGGGGAATATTTGTCTTTGTCAGGACTAGGTGAGATGGCTCGCTGGAAGGTGGCTGCGCTCTCTCTCCACTGCTGGCTGGCGGGGCTCTGTTGCAGGCAAGTCGCCACACGCCCCGTGCCATCATCACCATCATCACCATCATCATCATAACCATCATCATCACCATCATCATAACCATCATCATCACCATCATCACCATCATCACCCTCATTACCGTCATCATCATTATCATCATCACCATCGTCAAAACTATCATCACCATTATCATCATCATAACCATCACCCTCATAACCATCATCATCATTACCATCATAATCACCATCAGAGCCGGCCCTCGACCTTTGGGGGCCCTAAGCAAAATTTGGTTGGAGGCCCCTTTGATGTATGATTTTTTTCACCCACGAGCTAGCAGTGACTCTAGGAGGCCCTCTGCTGGCCACGGGGCCCTTTGCAATTGCAAGAGTCGCTTAGTGGCTGGGCTGGCTCTGATCACCATCATCATCACGACCATCATCACCATCATCATCATGATCGCCATTATCAGCTGGGTTGGTGAGTGAGTGATCATCTGAGTCTGTGAGTGAGTGATCATCTGGGTTGGTGAGTGAGTGATCAACTGGATTTGCGAAACTCAGCAGCAGCTTTCGCTGCTGAGATAATGGTAGCGCCTCTATAAATATGTAATAAAGCTCGTTGAGGCGACTTCTGGAATCCGTCTTTTATTCAACTTGTATTACAGTTTCCTTCACGCTGCTGACAGGCAGCGTGAGAGGGACAGATAGAGAGAGAGAGACTCACCGCCACGTGGCAACTCGGAGGCCCACTCCCGCGTGGCCCCCTTCCTCTGTTCGTTCCCGTTCTGGCCACGTGTCGTTCGTCTCCACCCCTATTTAATACCCGGGTCACGTGGTACGTTTCCACCAATCCTCGTTAGCCTCCATGGAATCTTCCAGGCTCCCTCGTCAGCTCCCGGGACCACGCCCCTGACTCATATCCCCATTGGCTGTGGCCAAAGCCAGCAAAACCAATCCTTATAGCTGTCACCTTTCCATCACGTCAGGGTCACGCCCCTAGGCTTCCCCCCCATTGGCTGTAAACCAGGACTGGCAGAGCCAATCACCATGACGAGTTGTGATACGTCAGTGAGCCGGATATATCCTCATATTACAAATATATTAACGTATGAACCAGAAGTGCGCTCACTCACTCCACTGGCTCGTGATTCCTCTTTAATTTATGGATCGCAGCTCGGTGGCTGTTGAAGTCAACAATTCCAGCAGCAGAAGCAACAGCAGCAACCTGTCGCCATCGGAGCTCCTGGAGAGTTTGATCGGCAAGACGTCTCGATATGACTACCGAGTACGGCCCAACTTCGGCGGTGAGTCCGTTCGGAATCTCCATTGTCACCATCACCGACATCACCACCTCAACCACCGCTCGCACCATCACTGCCATTACCAACACCACCACTAACACCCTCACCACCACCTCAATCGCCACCATCGCCGCTGTCACCACAACCACCACCACTATCTCAACCGCCACTATCACCACCACCTCAACCATCACCGTTATCACTTCAAAATCAACATCGAAACGATCACGGTGACGTCAAAACGGCCAGGCTATGTGCACGTTGAGGCCACGTGAAGTGTCGAACGCCCGCAGGCAGGAGGTTACGGGACAGACCCAGGTGTCACGGGTCAACTGACTGAGATGACTGGCTGATGCACCACCTGTGCCCCCTACTGTGCCAACTTTCTGTGCTTTAGCCACGCGGTGCTCCGCTCATTGTTGTGAGCGTCGCTTCTCTGTCCTCAATTGTTGCTGGAGGGCGACTGCCTCCAACTGCCCAGTAGCAGCGCCCTTCACGAGCCTCCTCCACAGAAGCCGATCTTGACACCACTGGTACCAGTCATCGGCAAGTGCACTCAGCTCCACATCCTCTTGTACCACATCACTCCATCTCTTCAATATCCAGCCGAACAAAAGCTGTTTAGGCATGTGGTGGCTGGGAATGCGGGCTACATGACCAGCTAACGCAGCCTTGCCTACCGGAGGAGCTCACCGATGGGACTTTGCCCAGTTCTTTTAAGGATTTGTGAGCTCCTCACACAATCCAGCCTGGTTAAACCCAGAATGGATCGTAGGCAGGCCAGCCTAAATGTTTATAACCGGCGAAGATGTTCCATTAGGGGGGGTCCATGTTTCGCAAACATAGAGAAGGGAGGGCATGACCGTGGCCGAGAAGATCTGAAGCTTCGTGTGGAGTGAGAGACCAAGTAGCTTCCAAACAGTGTTACACAGCCGATGAAAAGATAATGCCGGTTGACTGATTCGGAGTGAGACCTCTGCTGTCAAACGGGAGCCGGGCATGAGTACACTGCCCAGGTATGGGAAACTCTCCACTATCTTCACAACTGCCTCTTCAATTGGGAGTTGTGGGGGTGGAGTGTTTGGTGGCACGAAATACCCAGACAGGTGCTTAGATTTGGTGGGGCTGATGGTAAGGCCCCACCTCTTAGTGTCACTCTTCAGGTTCAGCAGCAGCACCTCCAGCTCCTCCTCTGAGTGAGCAACAATCACCAGATAATCGCCATACGTAACATGGTTGACCAATATGGAGCCATCCCTTGACTGCACTCGGGCATCGATCAGCCTCCCATTGTACCTGTACTAGATGAAAATGCCTCCGGTATGAACTACGTGGTCTAAACAGATGTTAAATAGAGGACATCCATATCGCACCCCAAAGTGAACAGGGAATGGCTCTGACTCACGTAGTTTTGCCCGGGCCTGCTCACCATCATGTAGGTTCTTAATGATTGTGAGCAGAGAGTCAAGGACTCTGATAGCACAAAGAACAACCCAGAGCCCATGTCTATTGATGGTATCATAGACCTTGACCAGGTCAATAAAGCAGAGATGTAGGTCCTGTTAGAATTCCCCACAACACTGCTGTAGCATAGGGAAAAAAATATGACATCTGTGCAGGACCGCCCTTTCCTGAAACCACATTGGGACTCTGCAAGCTTCTCCTCAGCGTGCCTGGCAAGGCGATATTGAATAATCCTTGCCACGATCTTTCCCTGCACACTGAGGAAGGAGATGCCCCTGTAGTTGTTACAGTCTAGGCAGTCTCCCTTCTTAAAAAAGGGGACCACAAGGGCATCCTTCCAATCCTTCGGAAACTTGTCCATTGGTTCAGACTGTTATTATGATGTCATGTAGGGCAGTCTGCACACAAACGCCAACCTCCCTCAGCATTTCACTTGGGAGATAATCTCTGCCCGGTGCTTTTTTGGTCTCGGACTCTGGATCATCTTCTGTACTTCCACTTCAGCCAGCTACGAAAGTGACTACTTTCAATATTTGAGTCATTGCAGCCTCAGCAGAGTCATCCCCACTTTGCCCCATGATGTTTTCCAGGCTGAGGAATCTCCCATCCCCCAAGACCTCACGGAAACGCTCAGCAAATCTGCAAACCTGTTCTTGGGGGTCGGAGATCAGATCAACTTTCTTTCCCGTAATGATGGTGATAGGTGTGGCTCTTGATGTAGTTAAAGAGTGATTTGTGATCGCGGGCTACTGAGGCAGACTCCATCTCTTCAGCAACCCGCGAACACCACCCATCCTTGCAGTGCCTCGCGGCTCTCCGAACTTCTGAGTGAAGGCTGGGGTAAGCATCCTCATTCTCTGACGTAGGTTTCTGTAGACGTGAGAGTGGGCCTGTCATATTTTCTCAGCCAGCCTGAACACCTCCTCTGTCAGCCAGGGTCTCTGAGGAGGTCTGGACCGTGTACCCAAAGCAGCCATTGCAGCTGCATGAGCCACAGTCCTAAACCTCGCCCATTTTCCCTCGGCATCAGAGGAGTAGGGGACTATGCCAACCCAGCCGCAAGCGATGATGAAATTTTCGCTTGCAACTTTCATCAGCTCGCTGAGACCAGGCCACTGTGGGTTTAAATGGGGTCCTAGATGTACACCCACCACGAGAGTGGAAGAATGGCAGGCGCATCTTACAGATGACGAGTCAATGGTCAGTGGGCAGATCAGCTCCAAGGTAGGTCCTGGTTGCAAAGAAATGGGCCCACATCTGGTGTTTCGTCACTATATAGTCCTTGAGATGTTATTGCTTGGACCCGGCATGCATCCATGATGTTTTGTAGATGCACCGATGCTGGTGCATCCACAAAAGTGGTAGTTGTGGTTGTAGTAGTAGTGGTTGTAGCCGTTATAGTAGTCATAGGTGTGGTAGTAGTGGTAGTTGTGGTTGTGGTAGTAGTGGTTATGGTAGTGCTAGTTGTGCTTGTAGTGGTTGTAGTAGGGCTAGTTGTGGTTGTAGTAGTGGCTGTAGTAATAGTTGTAGTTTTTGTAGTTGTTGTTGTAGTAGTGGTTGTAGTAATGGTTGTAGTAGTGATTGTAGCAGTGGTTGTGGTTGTAGTAACGCTGCGTGCCGCGCTGTGTCTGCATGCAGGGGCTCCGACAGTGATTAACTGCAGCATCTTCATCGAAAACTTCGGATCCATATCAGAAACAACCATGGTGAGGGTTGAGCGGTGAGGGTGAGTGGTGAGGGTGAGTGGTGAGGGTGAGTGGTGAGGGTGAGGGTAAGTGGTGAAGGTTGAACGGTGAGTGGTGAGGGTGAGTGGCTTCTACATCTACAGAACGTGAAGAACCAGTGACATCTACATCTGCAAAACATGAAGAACCAGTGGCATCTACATCTGCAGAACATGAATAACCAGTGGCATCTACATGAGATTCTTCAACTTTTAATGCCATCCCCCGTGTTTAGTGTACATGCCGTACAACACGTTTGAACTCGACAGGAGTAAAGTTGGACTTACGAACAAATCGAATTACGAACAAATTCTGGAACCTAACTCATTTGTAAGTAGAGGAGTCCCTGTATTGTAGTGTAGTAGTATATGATGTAGTGTAGTAGTAGTAGTATATAGTAGTGTAGTTTATAATGTAGTGTAGTTGTATATTGTAGTGGAGTATATAATGTAGTGTAGTAGTATATAGTAGTGTAGTATATAATATTGTGTAGTAGTATATAGTAGTGTAGTATATAATGTTGTGTAGTCGTATATACTGTAGCATAGTAGTGTATAATGTATATTAATACTGCACATGCCATACAACACGTTTGGAATCGACAAGAGCAAAGTTGGACTTACGAACAAATCGACTTAAGGACAGACCTCTAAAACGTACCACCCTCTCCTCTCCTCCCGCCAGGACTACAAAGTGTCCATCTTCATGCGGCAGATCTGGAACGACCCGCGGCTGAGCTACACGGGGTCCAGGCGGAGCCTCGCACTCGACAGCTCCATCATCGGCTCCATCTGGAGGCCCGACCTCTTCTTCTCCAACGAGATGAGCGGCAGCTTCCACTCTGTCACCACGGACAACCGCCGCATCACCGTCTACAGCAACGGAGATATCTTCTACTCGCTGCGGTGGTGGCCCACACGAGACGACCACGAAGATCTCCCCTCCACTCCCCTGTAGCCTCTCAATAGACTATATACTCTTAGTTCTTTCGGTAAAGTCACGTAGGTAAAAAAATGTAATTATTTTTTTAAAATAATTTTAATTTCATTTTTTTACCTACGTGACTTTACCGAAAGAACTAAGAGTATGAATCATTGCAGTCACGAAAGCTTCAAATCTAGAATCTCAATAGACTATATTCTCAATAGACTATGTACAAACCTTTGATGGTAGCCGGGAGGTTTGCAGAGAACCTTGGTCTCGGAAAAGACAATTTCATGAAAGGTTTGTACACGAAGCCATACAAATATACAAACACAGACATAATTTCAACCGTGATGATGGGTACAAACTTAGTAATCATTGGAAAGATGTTATCAACCACGCAAAAAAGACTTAATTACACTTTTTTGGACCATCTTATCTGACAGGCACTATCTTACTTTACTTTACCGAGTGTTAACATCCCCAGTTATTTTTCTAACAGTACCCTCTTCATTGTTCAGCCAGCATTGGTATAAACATGGGCATTTTCGTTCTTTTGTCTATCATGTGTATCAGGCCTCCCCTCCCCCTCTCTGCCCAATGTGTTGAGCACTCCGTGCTGTCTTTGAGCCCCGCCCCCCTCCCTCCCGATACGTTTCCATTCATTGGCTACCACATTCTGATGAGCTCCCCCCACCCCCTCTCCTCCCCCCTTCAACTTGCTTATAAGGGTTTACATCTTGAATCATTGCCTCACCTGATGACGGAGACTTGTGTTGCCTCCGAAACGTCGTGATTTTTGTTTTATTTTATTTTCATTAATTTTTATGTTTTACCTACGTGACTTTACCGAAAAAACCTAAGAATATGAATCCTTGCAGTCACGAAAGCTTCTTCTCACTAGACTGTTGGGGGCAAGATGCTGTAAGTAGCAGTAGCGCCTATGAAGGTAGACACAGACAAAGATCCCCCGTGTAGCCTGTTAACAGACTTTCGGGGCAAGTGCTGTAAGTAGCATTAGCGCCTATGAAGGTAGACGCAGACAAAGATCCCCCGTGTAGCCTGTTAACAGACTTTCGGGGCAAGTGCTGTAAGTAGCAGTAGCGCCTATGAAGGTAGACACAGACAAAGATCCCCCGTGTAGCCTGTTAACAGACTTTCGGGGCAAGTGCTGTAAGTAGCATTAGCGCCTATGAAGGTAGACGCAGACAAAGATCCCCCGTGTAGCCTGTTAACAGACTTTCGGGGCAAGTGCTGTAAGTAGCATTAGCGCCTATGAAGGTAGACACAGACAAAGATCCCCCGTGTAGCCTGTTAACAAACTTTCGGGGCAAGTGCTGTAAGTAGCAGTAGCGCCTATGAAGGTAGACACAGACAAAGATCCCCCGTGTAGCCTGTTAACAGACTTTCGGGGCAAGTGCTGTAAGTAGCATTAGCGCCTATGAAGGTAGACGCAGACAAAGATCCCCCGTGTAGCCTGTTAACAGACTTTCGGGGCAAGTGCTGTAAGTAGCAGTAGCGCCTATGAAGGTAGACACAGACAAAGATCCCCCGTGTAGCCTGTTAACAGACTTTCGGGGCAAGTGCTGTAAGTAGCAGTAGCGCCTATGAAGGTAGACGCAGACAAAGATCCCCCGTGTAGCCTGTTAACAGACTTTCGGGGCAAGTGCTGTAAGTAGCAGTAGCGTCTATGAAGGTAGACGCAGACAAAGATCCCCCGTGTAGCCTGTTAACAAACTTTCGGGGCAAGTGCTGTAAGTAGCAGTAGCGCCTATGAAGGTAGACGCAGACAAAGATCCCCCGTGTAGCCTGTTAACAGACTTTCGGGGCAAGTGCTGTAAGTAGCAGTAGCGCCTATGAAGGTAGACACAGACAAAGATCCCCCGTGTAGCCTGTTAACAAACTTTCGGGGCAAGTGCTGTAAGTAGCATTAGCGCCTATGAAGGTAGACGCAGACAAAGATCCCCCGTGTAGCCTGTTAACAGACTTTCGGGGCAAGTGCTGTAAGTAGCAGCAGCGCCTATGAAGGTAGACGCAGACAAAGATCCCCCGTGTAGCCTGTTAACAAACTTTCGGGGCAAGTGCTGTAAGTAGCATTAGCGTCTATGAAGGTAGACGCAGACAAAGATCCCCCGTGTAGCCTGTTAACAGACTTTCGGGGCAAGTGCTGTAAGTAGCAGCAGCGCCTATGAAGGTAGACGCAGACAAAGATCCCCCGTGTAGCCTGTTAACAAACTTTCGGGGCAAGTGCTGTAAGTAGCAGTAGCGCCTATGAAGGTAGACGCAGACAAAGATCCCCCGTATAGCCTGTTAACAGACTTTCGGGGCAAGTGCTGTAAGTAGCAGTAGCGCCTATGAAGGTAGACGCAGACAAAGATCCCCCGTGTAGCCTGTTAACAAACTTTCGGGGCAAGTGCTGTAAGTAGCAGTAGCGCCTATGAAGGTAGACGCAGACAAAGATCCCCCGTGTAGCCTGTTAACAGACTTTCGGGGCAAGTGCTGTAAGTAGCAGCAGCGTCTATAAAGGTAGGCACAGACAAAGATCCCCCGTATAGCCTGTTAACAGACTTTCGGGGCAAGTGCTGTAAGTAGCAGCGGCGTCTATGAAGGTAGACACAGACAAAGATCCCCCGTATAGCCTGTTAACAAACTTTCGGGGCAAGTGCTGTAAGTAGCAGCAGCGTCTATAAAGGTAGACACAGACAAAGATCCCCCGTGTAGCCTGTTAACAGACTTTCGGGGCAAGTGCTGTAAGTAGCAGCGGCGTCTATGAAGGTAGACACAGACAAAGATCCCCCGTGTAGCCTCTAACAGACAGGTCGGGGCAAGTGCTGTTAGTCGCGAGTAGCAGCACCTATAAGGGTCGGCACTGTGGCACACAGGAGGGGTGGGTGGCCAGCAGTATGCCCGGCCGCCTTTGGCTTCCCAATGGGCGATGCTCACTATTACACACCGCTACACCAGGTACTCATTTGAGGCTCAGTCGACCTAGGGGAAGCCCAGGACCGGTTCAGATAATCGCCACATTGGTGTGGGTGGTGGCTGTGAGCGAGAATCGAACTCGGGTCTCCGGGTTCGTAGCGCAGCGTAGTGCTAACCACTACACTTCCACGTGGCACTCACACACACACAGAAAGACAACGATCCCCCGTATACTCTTTGGTTCTTTCGGTAAATTCACGGAGGTAGAAAAATAAAATAAAATAAAAAAATCACATATCACGACGTTTCGATCGCAACACAAGCGGTCGTCCTCAGGCAGAAAAAATAATCCAGCAGTGGAACTGCTGAACCAGGAAGAACAGAGCGAGAGAGCTGTTACAACAAAGTTATATATGTGGTGAAGGGCAAGCAAGCGGGGTCTGATCTGGAAGGGAATTCCATCCCCGCACGCAAGCACGTCAGTTGTGTTAATGGGGGAGATTAGGGAGAGAGATTAGCGAGCACCTACGCACACACCCACACAACAACAACAACCGCCATTCGCCACTAAGTGGCAGTGACATCACCATGGCACTTGTGCCAGGCTATGTGCACCTTAAGGCCACGTGAAGTGTCGAACACCCGCTGGCAGGTTATGGGGCAGACCCAAGTGCCACGGGTCGACTGACTGAGATGAGTGGCCGATGCACCACCTGTGCCCCCTACTGTGCTAACTTCCTTTGCTTTAGCCGCCCGGCGCTCCGCTCGTTGTTGTGAGTGGCGCACCTCTGCCCTCCGCTATTGTTGCTGGAAGGCGACTGCCTCCAACTACCCAGTCGCTTCACCACTGCCCCACAAACTCCACACTGCCCACAGACTCAACACTGCCCACAGACTCAACACTGCCCACAGACTCAACACTGCCCACAGACTCAACACTGCCCACAAACTCAACACTGCCCACAGACTCAGCACTGCCCCACAAACTCCACACTGCCCACAGACTCAACACTGCCCACAGACTCAACACTGCCCACAAACTCAACACTGCACCACAAACTCAATACTGCCCCACAAACTCAACACTGCCCACAGACTCAACACTGCCCACAGACTCAACATTGCACCACAGACTCAGCACTGCCCACAGACTCAACACTGCCCCACAAACTCAACACTGCCCACAGACTCAACACTGCCCCACAGACTCAACACTGCCCACAGACTCAACACTGCCCACAGACTCAACACTGCCCCACAGACTCAACACTGCCCCACAGACTCAACACTGCCCATAGACTCAACACTGCCCCACAGACTCAACACTGCCCATAGACTCAACACTGCCCATAGACACAACACTGCCCACAGACTCAACACTGTCCATAGACTCAACACTGCCCCACAAACTCCACACTGCCCACAGACTCAACACTGCCCACAGACTCAACACTGCCCACAAACTCAACACTGCCCCACAAACTCAACACTGCCCATAGACTCAACACTACCCACAGACTCAACACTGCACCACAAACTCAACACTGCCCCACAGACTCAACACTGCCCACAGACTCAACACTGTCCATAGACTCAACACTGCCCACAGACTCAACACTGCCCATAGACTCAACACTACCCACAGACTCAACACTGCACCACAAACTCAACACTGCCCCACAGACTCAACACTGCCCACAAACTCAACACTGCACCACAAACTCAACACTGCCCCACAGACTCAACACTGCCCACAGGTCCCTTGGGAGATCGACGCCAGTGGCCATCAGGAGGTCCTCGTTGCGGCACACATCCGCACGCCCCATCTCCATTGCTCGTAGCCAGCCAGTGCGGCCGTCCCCGCAATACCCCGGGAGCCGTTGGGCTGTGGCAGTGCCCGACCCCGGAGTTGGGGTGGCGGCCTCGGCCTCGTCCCCCACTTCTTGGCCACCGCAGATCCGGTGGTGAACGCTGCGGGTGTGGGGCAGCGTTGTCGCAAGTTGAATTTTGTGCAATGTTTTCTCGGTTATTGTCGGTTGTCCTCTGACCCACGTGTGTTGCTGCTGCTGCTCGTGCTGCTGCTGCTCATGCTGCTGCTGCTGCAGGCTGTCCCTGACTCTCTCCTGCCACATGGACCTCCACAACTTCCCCATGGACACCCAGGTCTGCCTCATCTACCTGGAAAGCTGTGAGTGCTGCCGGGATGGGGCCATCGATGCTTAGACAATTTGCATTGTGTGCGTGTGAGTGTGCAGGAACGTGTTCTCATATAGGCCACAGTAGTAGACACTGTGCCTGGGGCCTTCCTACTCACCCAGTCACACAGCCACCTACTCACTCACCCACCCACTCAACCACCCACTCACACAGCCACCCACCCACCAGGGCCGTGATATCCAATCGGCCACGGTAAGCACTGTGCCTTGGGCCTACGAAAATTAAAGGGCCCACAATGCACGTGTGACCAAGATATCTTCTTGAATCAATACATTAAGATGGCTGCTCGTTGCAACGCGAACCGCCGAGCGGCAGGCGATTTTGACGAGCGGCGATCTGCCGGCCTTGTCACTCCCCCTGCCCCCTCCCTCCTTCTCCCCCTGCCCCCGAACCCACCCTCTCCACCACCGCCGATGGTCTAGACGGCTACACGCTCCGGGACCTGCTGTTCCAGTGGCTTCCCGGGGACGCTGTGACTTTCGCCGACGGGCTCAGCCTGCCCCAGTTCCAGCTGATGAGGACTGCCGAGTTGGGTGACTGCACCAAGACATACGTCACGGGTAAGGTGGCGGGGGTGTGGGTGGCTGGGTGGGTGGTTGGGTGGGTGGCTGGGTAGTTGAGTGGGTCGGGAATTCATAGCAAAATATACAGAGATCCCCCCCCGTATCGCCTGTAACGGACTGTAGTGGCAAGTGTTGTTAGCGAGCACCTATGAAGGCCAGAACGGCAGACGAGGGGGTGGGTGGCCAGCACCACGCGCAGCCGCCTTTGTCTCCCCAGTGGCAATGTTTTTACGCACCGCACCAGGTACTCATTTGAGGCTGAGTCGACCTAGGGGAGGACCAGGACCGGATCAGACAATTATATTTTCTGGTGTTGGCCGTGAGTGGGAATCAAACTCGGGTCGCACGGTTCATCGCGCAGCGTAGCGCTAACCACTACACCCACCACTCCCCACCACCACCACCAGCAGCAGCAGCAGCAATTCTCGCTCACGACCAAGCGTGGTGCTGGCCAACCACCCGTTTCGTGTGCCCCAGTGCCGGTAGCCTTCATAGGTGTCCGCTAACAGCACTTGCCCGGCAGTCTGTTCAGGCTGTACAGGGGATCTTTGTCTTTGGACGGGTGGTTGCGGGGGCGGGGGGGAGTGTGTACCCAGCTGGGGTTGTTCGGAGTGCCACGGCTTTTCACAATGACGACCAAAGTCCCTCTTGGAGCAGAAACATGATCATATATTGAATGGTGTTCGTGTTTTGATTTAAAGCTTTTGTGACTGCAGGGATACATATTCTTGGTTATTTCAGTAAAGTCACGTAGAAGAGAAATAATACGATAATAACAATATAAAACAATACAAATTCTCACGACGTTTCGACTGCAACACAAGCAATCATCATCAGGTGTGAAATCCACAGCAAGAAAATTTGAAAAAAGTGGCGGTTTTTTCTAACGTCAGCACCACGGACAGCGATTTGGCAGTTGGTCAGATGGACGAGTCCATCTATGTTCGGAAAAGAGGAGGGGGGACTCGTCCATCTGACCAACTGCCAAATCGCTGTCCGTGGTGCTGACGTTAGAAAAAAAACGTCACTTTTTGTCCAATTTTCTTGCCGTGGATTTCACACCTGATGATGAGTGCTTGTTTTGCAGTCGAAACGTCGTGATCATTTTTATTGTTTTATATTTTTCTTATTTTATTATTTCCCTTCTACGTGACTTTACCGAAAGAACCAAGAATACGGTGTTCATGTGTTTGTGTGCCGCTTTAAACTTTCTTCTCGAAGACGATTGCCTTCTGCTCCAATTGCCACCGCGCGTCATTGCTGCCCCTTAATTTTCTATCGTTTCCCCCTCTTGCTATTTCTGTTGGGCCCCTGGGTCACACTCAGGCAGGGGACTCTCATCCCGCCCTCTTGATTTTCCCACCGAGGCAACGCAAATGTCCGCTTGGAGTATAGCCACGAGCTGGGTGGGGATGGCAACGATCCCAGACAACGTGATGTAGTAGCCGCTGCAAGGGCCTGCGGAATCCCTGCGTCTGAATGCCTCTCTCTCTCTCTGTCTCCTCTCTGTCTGCCTCTCCGTCTCTCTTCCAGGTAGCTTCACCTGCATAGACGCCAAGTTTGTGTTGCACAGAGAGATGGGATTCTACCTCATCCAGCTCTACATCCCCAGCATCCTCATCGTCATCATCTCCTGGGTCTCCTTCTGGATCAACATGAACGTGGCCCAGGCGCGCGTGGGTCTGGGCATCACTACAGTGCTCACCATGACCACGCAGAGCACGGGGTCACGCTCCTCCATGCCCAAGGTGATGGCGGGGCACCTGCGATGCACCACAGCAGCTTTGGATTGGCTTTGGGATAGAGATGGTGAGTTGGGGGGGGGGGTAAATGGGTGAGTGGAACGGGCTGGGGTGGATAGGTGGGTGGATGGGTGGGTGGGTGAGTGAGTGGGTGGGTGGGTGGGTGGATGGGTGGGTGGGTGGATGGGTGGGTGGGTGAGTGGATGGGTGGGTGGGTGAGTGGATGGGTGGGTGGGTGAGTGGGTGGATGGGTGGGTGAGTCGGTGAGTGACCGAGTGGGTGAGTGGCATTGGCTAAAAATAAGATGAGCTGATGGATGAGCGAGTGGGTGAGTGAGTGCGTAAGTGGCACGGGCTAGAGAAGAGATGGAGCTGACGCGGTACAGGAGGATGTGGAGCTGAGTGAACTTGCCGATGACTGGTACCAGCGGTGTCAAGATCGGCCTCTGTGGAGGAGGCTCGTGAAGGACGCTATTGGATCGTTGGAGGCAGTTGCCACCCAGCAACAACAACGAGCGGAGTGCTGGGTGGATAAATCACAGCAAGTTGGCACAGTAGGGGAGCACAGGTGGTGCATCGACCAGTCATCTCAGTCAGCCAACCCATGGCACCTGGGTCTGTCCCTAGACCTCCTGCCAGCGGGCGTTCAACACTTCACGTGGACTTAAAGTGCACATAGCCTGGCACAAGCATCGTGGTGACGTCACCGCCACTCAGTAGCGAATGGCGGTTGTTGTTCTTGTCTGTGTGTCTTTGTCTTTGTGTCTGTGTGTCTGTGTGTGGTGTGTGTCTGTGTGTGTGGTGTGTGTCTGTGTGTGTGGTGTGTGTGTGGTGTGCGTCTGTGTGTATCTATGTGTGGTGTGTGCATGCTGGGTGTCTCCCAGCTCTCCTACATCAACGCGATGGACGTGTGGATGACGGCGTGCCTCTTCTTCGTGTTCGGCGCGCTGCTCGAGTACATCATGGTCGTCATGACGGCCATGCGGGCCAGGAGCCTCGCCAAGACAACGCTCACCACCTACCACGTAAGACTCTCACCCACAGCCAGCCAGCCGCAACGGGTGATGGGAGAGGTGGGGGGAGGCGGGGTGGGGGGGCTAGGTTTGTATGAGGGGAGACCTTTTCTACAGAGTGAGTGGAGTTTTTAGGTCCCCTTCTCTTCTACAGAATGAGTGGAGTTTGTATATTCTCCCCTCTTTTACTACAGAGTGAGTGGAGTCTGTATGTTCTCCCCTGTACTAAACAGTGAGAGTGAGTGAGTGGAGCATTATTATCACTAAACCACGATTTAAATATCCAACTCATCTTATGTTGGAGGCCCCAGGGGGACGGTTGTCTATGACGTCTCCTGGCCAAACCCCATTTGGTGGAGCCAGAAGACTGAACCCGCACGCTCGGGGTTCCTCCAGGCATGGTAAAAAGCCACTGCGAGTGGCCACGTAGAATGTTCGAATGCTAACTTGAGAGAAGAGGCTGCCACTCTACTGTTGGGATCTTAACAGGTAAAGCCTGGATCTCTGTGGTATTCAGGAGGTCCGGTGGACTGGTTCTGACTCTAATAACCACGAATACAAATCTTTATTTAGACTGGAGGATTAACTACGAGGGGTGGACAGTGGCGGTGAGGTGTGGGAAGCTGTGAGTCCGAGGCTGGGCACGCCTAGAGGGGGCAAGCCTGGGCATGCCCGGAGGGGCAATGCCTGGGCACGCCCAGTGGCATGCCTGGGCACTCTGCTCGCTAAGTGGATAACAGCAGAGCCACAGCCAATCATCATCAATCAAACTCTTCTCACTAAGTGGATGACAGCAGAGCCACAGCCAATCAACATCAAACTCTGCCCACTAAGTGGATGATTGCAGAGCCATGCCAATCAACATTGATCAAACTCCACCACCCACTGTTGTAAAAATATGGCAACTACTGAATTGTAAAGGCGATCACGTTTGATTTCTGATTAACCAGAGCAGCAACATATTTGTTCGGTTTGAAGCACTGTGTGACTTGTAATAACAAATTTCCTAGAATAACAATGTATAACTGTTTTTAGATGATTCATTTGGGCTTAAGGGGAAAATCCACGCATTATTAATTCACGTGAAAACCTCAGGTTCGCGTGGTTAATCTGCAAATGGGATAAACCGCACACGCGGAAAATAGAGAGTCTCTTTAACAAGTAATAGGAGGCTTTCACGACCAATATTATCCATAAGGGAGATTTTTGGGTTAGATCACATAAATATAAATGTGTCGTTAAAGCCGACACCACTCGACACAGCCAATTATTAAGATTTGTCACGTCAACAAAACATGCCAATTCGTTACCAGTTCGGCACTCACCAGTTGTGTACTGGAGAGTAAACCCACTACAACATTTAAACATTTGAGTATCTTGACGTTTCGCCAGTAATTATAACAACCAGCACCATCATGATACTTGAATCGTCAATGTTATGGTGGGTTTACTCTCCAACACACAAACAGTAAGTGCTGTACTAGTAACTAATTGGCAACGTTTTGTTTACGTCGCAAACCTCACAAATTGGCCGTGTCGGATGGTGGTGGTGGGTTTAACAACACATTTATAAGGGAAATAATAAAATAATAAAAAATTCAACATAATAAAACAGTTTAACACGTAGGCTTTCGCGACCAATGTTATTCATAATCAACGATTTTTGGGTTTAGATCGCGTTTATTTATAAATGTGTCGTAACCCTCCACCACCCGACACGGCCAATCAGTAAAAAATGTGTCACGTTGACAAAGACAAATAGTTCACTGCTTTAACACACCGGTGGGCTAAAGCAGTGAACTATTTGTCTTTGTCAACGTGACACATTTTTTACTGATTGGCCGTGTCGGGTGGTGGAGGGTTACGACACATTTATAAATAAACGCGATCTAAACCCAAAAATCGTTGATTATGAATAATAAAACAATTCTCACGACGTTTCGGCCACAACGCAAGCAGCCGTCCTCAGGTGAAAACCAGGTCTGTCGAGGCGACAGCGTCTGAATGAAACAGCACACGTGCTTGGAGCATATATATAAGCTGGGTTGGAAGGGGGGAAAAGAGCGCCTTGACACATTCAGACGCTGTCGCCTCGACAGACCTGGTTTTCACCTGAGGACGGCTGCTTGCGTTGTGGCCGAAACGTCGTGAGAATTGTTTTATTATGTTTTATTTCTATTATTCTATTACTTCCCTTCTACGTGATGACTTTACCGAAAGAACCAAGAAGATGAATCCCTGCAGTCACGAAAGCTTTAAATCGAAATTTAACACGTTTATATTTACGCCATTTAACCCAACAAAATTGTCTTGTGTATCGAGAGTGGTGCCGTCGATTAAGTAGGATTAATGTGAACCCGCCCCCGCCTGCCCTTAGGTCAATACAGATGAAGGATGTGCCAAGTGGATGGTGCGGGCGCAGGGGATCGACAACGCCTCTCGATTCGTTTTCCCCATCAGCTTCGCCGTCTTCAACGTCGCCTATTGGCTCCTCTGCCTCCAGTCGAGGGGGAAATAGCGAGGGGTGGTGCACGCAGGGAATCAATGCAGGGATTCCTATACTTACGAACAAGTTAGATTCCATAGGTCTGTGTTCGTACGTCTATTTGTTCGTAAGTTCAAATTTACTTCGGTCAGATTTAAGACATGTTGTACGGCAATGTAAAGTACTATTACACATTATACAATACTATACTACATTATATACCTCTACACTTCAGTACAGGAACTCCTCGACTTACCAACGAGTTAGGTTCAATAGGTCTGTGTTCGTAAGTCTATTTGTTCCTAAGTCTATCTTTACTTCTGTCGATGTTGTAAGGCATGTACTCCTATAGATGTAGATGCCACTAGTTCTTCACGTTCTGTAGATGTAGATGCCACTGGTTATTTACATTCTGCAGATGTAGATGTCACTGGTTCTTCACGTTCTGCAGATGTAGATGCCACTGGTTCTTCACGTTCTGCAGATGTAGATGCCACTGGTTCTTCACGTTCTGCATATGTAGATGCCACTGGTTCCTCGTGTTCTACAGATGTAGATGCCACTGGTTATTTACATTCTGCAGATGTAGATGTCACTGGTTCTTCACGTTCTGCAGATGTAGATGCCACTGGTTCTTCACGTTCTGCAGATGTAGATGCCACTGGTTCTTCACGTTCTGTAGATATAGATGCCACTGGTTCTTCACGTTCTGTAGATATAGATGCCACTGGTTCCTCGTGTTCTGCAGATGTAGATGCCACTGGTTCTTCGCGTTCTGTAGATATAGATGCCACTGGTTCTTCGCGTTCTGTAGATATAGATGCCACTGGTTCTTCGCGTTCTGCAGATGTAGATGCCACTGGTTCCTCGTGTTCTACAGATGTAGATGCCACTGGTTATTTACATTCTGCAGATGTACATGTCACTGGTTCTTCGCGTTCTGTAGATGTAGATGCCACTGGTTCCTCGTGTTCTACAGATGTAGATGCCACTGATTCTTCACGTTCTGCAGATGTAGATGCCACTGGTTTTTCACGTTCTACAGATGTAGATGCCACTGATTCTTCACGTTCTGTAGATGTAGATGCCACCACCGCCATCTATTGCACAGCGGTTGAACTTACGACTCTCGGTCCAAATAGGCAAGTGGACATACAGACAGGTTTGTTCGTATCTCTGAAAGTTTGTAAGGCGAATGTTCGTAAGTAGAGGAGTCCCTGCAACAACAATACTTTCATTTTACATAGCATCCTTCGTGCTAATAGCATCCCGTAGCACTGTGCATAAATTATTTACAGGAGGTCATCGATTATCCGGCGGCTTCAGGGGGAAGGGGACGCCAGATTTTCTAAAATCCCGCATAATCACTCCTCATCATGACTTAAAATCGCCAATTTTTGCGCATTTTTACGTGACATTATGCTTTTAGGTGTTGTGTGTATGTGGTTTTGTCGTGTTTTAAATGTGTTAACTACGTGAAATTGGTATAAATAAACATACAAATGGACACAAATAACCGGCTGTAAAAAGTTACGTATTTACTATGCCATTCTTACCACTCCAATGTCGCAGACTCTGCATCATGGGGTGATATATATACGTGCAGTAATTTTCATAGTTTAAGTTTGATGTAGGGTATAATGTAGTGTATATCATATTTAACACTGAAATTAAGCGTAGCTACTTTGTTATGTCACACGTACACGGTGTGAATGGCCAGACTGGTTACAGCCTTTGGAGCGGTTTTGCAGGTTTCGCTGGATCGGCCCGAGACCGCCGGATAACGTTGGAAGCAGCCAGATAACACTGATCAACACACTTTTTCTGGCATAAGGTATTCCAACGGGTTCAAATCTGGAATCAGTTTTTGTCTATCACATCAGGTTTTTGAGATATCAAATATTACATTTTCAATAAAAACTGCAGAAGAAAAATATTAAATAAATGTGGATATCTACATAAAATGATGATATTATAAACACACTATCCTAAAAATACAGCACCATATTTTAACACTAAAGCAGGCACTGACTCGCAACAACTTGCAATCATAAGTGACAGAGTTAATTTTGGGTAGAATCAATGAAAATGGGGTATGCCGATAGCATAAAAATGATGTGATAGAGCAAATCTGAGATCAGATTTGGAATCAGCACCCTGAAATTAGTCTAAAACAGCTGCATTTATTAGGTATAACCATGTGAGCCATTCGGCTCTTGAATCGGGTCCAACCTCAACAAACAAAAACATGAACAAGAAACATCTTAAAATGACTACACGCAAACAGAAAAATCCAAGAAAAAACAGCAAAGTCTTCCAGAAAAGGCACCGTACATCAATGCTGTGTGCAACAATCCCAAACAATAACAACCATATAACTATTTTGATTAATGTGATCAGTTCAACTCTGTACAACAACAAACACATATGGCTAATCCAAAACGTTTTCGACGATGATGATATAAATGCAAACTCCAAACATACAACAGCAGGCGTTAGGGTCGGGATCGAACCCACGACCTCCTTGTACACCAGGCGAGGTAGTTAACATCTCCTAGCCACCGTGGTGATGATGAGAGAGAGACACAGACTCCAAATATGCAGCAGGTGTCAGCGTTGGGATCGAACCCACGACCTCCTGTACACCAGGCGAGGGAGTTGACATCTCTTAGCCACCGTGGTGATGATGATAGAAAGAGACGCAGACTACAAGTATACAGCAGCAGGCGTCAGGATCGCGATCGAACCCACGACCTCCTGTACACCAGGCGAAGGAGTTGACATCTCTTAGCCACCGTTATGATGATGAGAGAGAGAGAGACGCAAACTCCAAACATACAACAGCAGGCGTCAGGGTCGGGATCGAACCCACGAGCCTCCTGCGTACCATGCGAGGTAGTCGACATCTCCTCGCCACCGAGAGCAGCGAGCTGCTAAAGCTTAGCCCCCAAATCCCGCAGCCAGGTGGTTCAACAAAGTTGAATAAACAAACAATGACACACGGAGCGCGCGCGGCGGCTGCTGCTGCTGCTGCTACTGCTGCTGATGATGATGCATGCAACGTGATCCACCGTGATTTGTGTGCACGCGTATATCCACGGACTCACGGGGACAAACATTCGGATTAATGCGGCTGCGTCACCCACACGAGCTCGGGGTACACGTGGGGGGAGGGGGACTAAAGCTCGTCAACCCAAGTGGATGGCCTCTGAAGTCCAACAGACGGGGGGGGGCTGTGTTGGTCTATCTACTTCTGGATTAAGATCAATGCGGTAACGATGTCTCTACCCTGTGTGGTTACTGTGGTGTATAGTGGTGATTGTGGTGGTTATGTAATTGATGGTGGCTATCGTGGTTAAAGTGTATGAAGATGATGATAGTGGTGGTGGTTGTGTTGAACTCAGTCTCTTATCCTCGTGAGCCGAGGTCTTTGGCCAAACAGAGTCAGCGGATCCCAGCATCGTCTCGATGTCGCGTTACCCCGACCATTCGTAGAGCGCCTCCACAAATCTTCAACCATCTATGGGGGGGGGGGGGTGGCGTGCTTCTTAGACCTTGACCGCATGCAGCCTTTCACCCCTCTGGGCTCCTCAATCGTTACACAAATGGAACGATGTCAATAAACACATAGAGGGGGTTTGTTGTTGTTGTTGATGATGAAACGAAGTAAGTTGTCGCTTGAAGTGACCCGTGCTGAATGTGCGTGCTTCGACGATTTGCTGTTTTTAAAGAATTCTGGCCGCGCGTCTCGCACGCGCCCGCCCCCCAGAAGGGGCATCACGCATCCCCTGGTTAAGAAGAAGAGGAACCACTGATCGACAGCATCATCATCATCACCACCATCATCATCACTACCATCATCATCATCATCACCACCATCATCATCACCATCATCATCACCATCACCCCCATCATCATCACCACCACCATCATAATCATCATCACTACCATCATCATCATCATCACCACCATCATCATCACCATCATCATCACCGTCACCCCCATCATCATCACCATCACCACCATCACCATCACCACCACCATCATCATCACCATCACCACCCGCACCACCATTATCAACACCATCATCACCACCATCATCATCATCATTACCACCATCACCACCATCATCACCATCATCATCACCATCATCACCACCATCATCACCATCATCATCACCATCACCATTATCACCACCATCATCATCACCACCATCATCATCACCATCAACACCCGCACCACCATTATCACCGCAATCATCACCATCATCAACACCATCATAATCATCATCACAATCATAATCACCATCATCACCACGATCATAATCATCACCATCACCACCACCATCATCACCATCATCATCACCATCATCACCACCATCATCACCACCATCATCATCACCACCATCATCACCATCATAATCATCACCATCACCACCATCATCACCATCACCACCATCGTCATCATCATCACCACCCGCACCACCATTATCACCGCCATCATCACCATTATCGCCGCCATCATAATTATCACCATCATCAGCATCATTATCACCATTATCACCACCATCATCACCACCATCATCATCACCGCCATCACCGCTATCATCATCACCACCATCACCACCACCATCAACCACTATTATCAACACCACCACCACTACTGTAGTTGCTACCGTGCCGCGCCGGCCCGCCTTGTTGACTGTGAGATCTATGTGTGTGTGTAAGGTGTGTATCTGTGTGTGTGTAAGGTGTGTGTGTGTGTGTAAGGTGTGTGTATAATGTGTGTGTGTAAGGTGTGTGTGTAAGGTGTGTGTCTGTAAGGTGTGTGTGTAAGGTGTGTTTGTGTGTAAGGTGTGTGTGTAATGTGTGTGTGTGAGGTGTGTGAGGTGTGTGTGTAAGGTGTGTGCGTGTAAGGTGTGTGTGTGTGTAAGGTGCCAATCAATTTCAAGGACAGTGCATACATTATCAGAGTTGTGTTTTTTTTGCATTCCGGCCGCAGGTATTGTGGTCAATGCAAACATGACTCCTTGTAAAAAAGGTTTGTTGCCAAATAAAAGGATAAATAAACAATTATCATATTTTGCTACTGGCAAAGGAGGTTCCAATGGTGTAAGAGTATACGACATAACAGTTGATTACATAATCAACCAGGTAAGGTGTTGACTGTTATATTAGCCGACTCTCTATGTTGTATTGCATTATATTTAGGTTTGTTTTCTCATGTGTACCTAATGATGATTGCTTGTGTTGCAATCGAAACGTCGTATGCTATTATTTAATTCTTAATTTTTTCTTTCTACGTGACTTTACCGAAAGAATCAAAGAGTTATCCTCAATTGTGTTGCAATCGAAACGTCGTATGCTATTATTTAATTCTTAATTTTTTCTTTCTACGTGACTTTACCGAAAGAATCAAAGAGTTATCCTCAATTACTCCTCAGCCATCCCCATCAGCGCTCATTCTGGGCGTGCGTGATTTCAGCAGCGTTCATTCAAGACCCAGCAACATCTCTGCACCGCTTTCCACTTGCATTGTCTCATCAGCAGAGCCAGGATTTGGTGAATTGACAGATCGTACAGGCTCAACAACATCGTCTCTCTATTTTTTTTTACGATCAGAGTAAACAAGAAGATGCTCGGTGTAGTCGGCACTTTGCTTCGTTCATCATTTAGTTTATTTTTTAATGCTTTGCTTTATGTAAACCCCCTCCCCCCCTTTTTAAATGAAAGATTTCACAATAGCTTTCACGCTCTGATCTCCTTACCCCCCCCCCCCCTCTCTCTCTCTACCCCCTCTCTCCCTACTCTCTCTACGCTATGGGGAGGAGGGGGTGGGGTCCACACGACGCAGTGATGCACACACCTCACGGCACATCAAGTAGTCGCTTGCACGCAGTGCCGAGGCAACCACCCACACAGTCGCCACGTCTTCTTCCACCGAGTTGCGGGTGAGACAGAGAACGAGAGCGAATCAACTGGCAAAAAAACCCCTCCTGGGGTCTGTCGCCTGTCCAACCCGATCGGGTCCACACGCAGAGGTAGTAGAGAAGGGAGGAGGCAACGGGAGGAGGGAGGTGGACATCACTGGCGATGTTTAAAGACAAATCAGTGGCGACGTGAATGCATCAGGGGTGGGTTTTTTTCCGTTGGGTTTAGATCGACTCAGCCTGGTGCTGCGTGTCAACATCGCCGCCGGGGAGACAAAGGCGGCCGAGCGTGGTGCTGGCCACCCACCCCCTCGTGCGCCGTGCCGGCCTTCATTGGTGCTACTCGCTAACAGCACTTGCCCCTACAGTCTGTTAGAGGCTACACGGGGGACCTGTGTCTTTGTGCGTGTTTCTCCAACTTCTGCTCGACAAGGCTGGATGGAACTCTCTCTCTCACCCTCCCCCCTCTCACCCCCCCTCTCTCTCACCCCCCCCCCTCTCTCACCCCCCCCCCCCTTTTCTCTTCAGCCATGAGACGGCATCTTCTGCTCGCTGCCTTCGTGGTGGCCGTGGTCGCGACTCTGAGTTCGCGTCCTGTCAGGTGAGTCCCAAAGGTGCTGCTGCTCGAGTCCTCGCTTAACGTGCCTACAGACTCTATGCAGTCCTCGCTTAACGTGCCTACAGACTCCGTGCAGTCATCGCTTAACGAACCTACAGAAAAGGTGCAGTCCTCGCTTAACGAGTCTACAGACAAGGTGCAGTCCTCGCTTAACGAATCTACAGACAAGGTGCAGTCCTCGCTTAACGAGCCTACAGACAAGGTGCAGTCCTCGCTTAACGAATCTACAGACAAGGTGCAGTCCTCGCTTAACGAGTCTACAGACAAGGTGCAGTCCTCGCTTAACGAATCTACAGACAAGGTGCAGTCCTCGCTTAACGTGCCTACAGACAGGGTGCAGTCCTCGCTTAACGTGCCTACAGACAGGGTGCAGTCCTCGCTTAACGAGTTTACAGACTCCATGCAGTCCTCGCTTAACGAATCTACAGACACCGTGTAGTCCTCGCTTAACGAGCCTACAGACAAGGTGCAGTCCTCGCTTAACGAATCTACAGACTCCGTGCAGTCCTCGATTAACGAATCTACAGACAGGGTGCAGTCCTCGCTTAACGAGCCTACAGACAGGGTGCAGTCCTCGTTTAACGAGTCTACAGACTCCGTGCAGTCCTCGCTTAACGAATCTACAGACAGGGTGCAGTCCTCGCTTAACGAGTCTACAGACTCCGTGCAGTCCTCGCTTAACGAATCTACAGACAGGGTGCAGTCCTCGCTTAACGAGTCTACAGACTCCGTGCAGTCCTCGCTTAACGAATCTACAGACAGGGTGCAGTCCTCACTTAACGAGTTTACAGACTCCGTGCAGTCCTCGCTTAACGAATTTACAGACACCGTGTAGTCCTCGCTTAACGAGCCTACAGACAAGGTGCAGTCCTCGCTTAACGAATCTACAGACTCCGTGCAGTCTTCGCTTAACGAATCTACAAACAGGGTGCAGTCCTCGCTTAACGAGCCTACAGACAGGGTGCAGTCCTCGCTTAACGAGTCTACAGACTCCGTGCAGTCCTCGCTTAACGAATCTACAGACAGGTTGCAGTCCTCGCTTAACGAGCCTACAGACTCCGTGCAGTCCTCGCTTAACAAATTTAGAGACAAGCTGCAGTCCTCGCTTAACGAATCTACAGACAGGGTGCAGTCCTCGCTTAACGAGTCTACAGACAGGGTGCAGTCCTCACTTAACGAATCTACAGACTCTGTGCAGTCCTCGCTTAACGAATCTACAGACAAGGTGCAGTCCTCGCTTAACGAGTCTACAGACTCTGTGCAGTCCTCGCTTAACGTGCCTACAGACACTGTGCAGTCCTCGCTTAACGAGTCTACAGACAAGGTGCAGTCCTCGCTTAACGAATCTACAGACTCCGTGCAGTCATCGCTTAACGCGCCTACAGACATGGTGCAGTCCTCGCTTAATGAGTCTACAAACAGGGTGCAGTCCTCGCTTAACGTTCCTACAGACTCCGTGCAGTCCTCACTTAACGAATCTACAGACAAGGTGCAGTCCTCACTTAACGCGCCTACAGACAAGGTGCAGTCCTCGCTTAACGAGCGTGGCTGTGTGCACACAAAAAAATCGCCTCACCTGATACAGTAAATATAGCTGTGACGGTCCCACCTGATGACGGAGACTTGTGTTGCCTCCGAAACGTCGTGATTTATTATTTTATATTATTTCTATTATTACTTTACCGAAAAAACCTAAGAGTATGAATCATTGCAGTCACGAAAGCTTCAAATCTAGAATGTGTTCACACTGCCACGCGCTTTCGCTGCAACACAGTTTCTTGCACGATGGAGCACTTTTGGTACAACTCGGTAATACACACCGCCGTTTTAGCGTGGACCACACACACCTTGATAACGTGGAACACACACACACACCGTTACAACGAGGAACACACACACACCTTGATAACGTGGAACACACACACACCGTTACAACGTGGAACACACACACCTTGATAACGTGGGACACACACACACACCGTGATAACGAGGAACACACACACACACACCGTGATAACGCAGAACACACCGTGATAACGTGGGACACACACACACCTTGATAACGTGGGACACACACACACCTTGATAACGTGGAACACACACACACACCTTGATAACGTGGAACACACACACACACCGTGATCACGTGGAACACACACACCTTGATAACGTGGAACACACACACACCGTTATAACGTGGAACACACACACCCACCGTGATCACGTGGAACACACACACACCGTGATAACGAGGAACACACGCACACCGTTATAACGAGGAACACTCACACACCGTGATCACGTAGAACACACACACACACCGTTATAACGAGAAACACACACACACACACACACCGTGATCACGTGGAACACACACACACCTTGATAACGTGGAACACACACACACCGTGATAACGTGGAACACACACACACACCGTTACAACGAGGAACACACACACACACCGTGATCACGTGGGACACACACACCGTTACAACGTGGAACACACACACACCGTGATCACGTGGAACACACACACACCGTTATAACGTGGAACACACACACACACCATTACAACGCGGCTACGAAGCCGTCAACGACAAACTGCATTCTTGAGCCGCGTGGCCGAGCGGTACGGCGATGTTATTCGTGGTCGTTGCGTCATACCTCGCCGGACGTCACCGTGACGTCACAGGGGAGAGGGATGCGGGGCTAAATCCGTTGTTTGAAACAATTTTTGTTTCACGAATCTTCTTTGCCTTCAGGAACGCGCCTTGCCGTGTGCGCGTGTATATGTCTGTGTGTGTTGTAGTGTAGTGTAGCGGTTAGCGCTACGCTGCGCTATGAACCTGGCGACCCGGGTTCGATTCCCGCTCACGGCTAACACCAGTGACGATTATCTTGAACCGGTCCTTGGCCTCCCCTAGGTCGACTCAGCCTTAAATGAGTACCTGGTGCCGTGTGTAAACATCGCCACTGGGGAGACAAAGGCGGTCGGGCGTGGTGCTGGCCACCCACCCCCTCGTGTACCGTTCCGGCCTTCTTAGGTGCTCGCTAACAGCACTTGCCCCTACAGTCTGTTAAGGCTATACGGGGGATCTTTGTCTTTGTGTGTTGGGGCGTGAATTCTACGCCCGCCGCTCACGTTCTCGTGTCGATGCTTTGCAGAGGGGACATCGACAGCCTCCTAAAGATCATCAACTCGCGTAATTACGACCGCGGCGTTCTGCCCAAGCTGAACGGTAAAGATGCGGCCCCAAATTTACTTATCCGTTTTCAGCGTCATCGTCGATATTCAAACCTTCCCGCCCGTATGCCCGTATGTCGTTTCGCGTCGTTTATTCTCAGATGAATGTATCACAGAAACACGCTCGTCAATGGTGCTGTGTGACACTACAAAGGGTAATATAAACACGGGGACTCCTCTGCTTATGAACAGGCGACTTACGTACGTTCAGAGACATGGATAAACCTGTTGTTATGTCCAGTTGCCTGTTCGGATCGAGAGTGACATTTGTGCGCAGACTGCCCTACCTGACATCATAGTCAGAATCTGGACCACTGGACGTTATTCCGCAGGATTGGAATGATACTCTTAGGTTTTTTTCGGTAAAGTCACGTAGGTAAAAAGGTAAAATAAAAGATAAAAATTATAATAGAAATAAAATAATAAATTACTTTACCGAAAAAACTTAAGAGTATGAATCCTTGCAGTCACGAAAGCTTCAAATCTAGATTGGTAAAGTCACGTAGGTAAAAAGGAAAAAAAAGATACAAATTATAATAGAAAAAAATAAAAAAATATTTTATTTCTATTATCATTTTTATCTCTTTTTTATAATAGAAAAAAATAATAAATTATTTTATTTCTATTATCATTTTTATCTCTTTTTTATAATAAAAATAAAATAATAAATTATTTTATTTCTATTATCATTTTTTATCTTTTTTTTACCTTTTTACCTACGTGACTTTACCGAAAAAACCTAACAGTATGAATCCTTGCAGTCACGAAAGCTTCAAATCTAGATTGGAATGATGCCCTGGTGGTCCCCATCTTTAAGAAGGGGGACCGCACAGACTGTAACAACTACAGGGGCATCTCCCACCTCAGTGTGCCGGGAAAGGTCCTAGCAAGGATTCTTCAACATCGCCTTGCTAGGCACGCTGAGGAGAGGCTTGCGGAGCCCCAATGCGGTTTCAGGAAAGAAGACAAGTTGGAGGCGCTGCTGCTCTACCTGGAGCGTGCCACTAAGCGGTGGGCCCTTACAATCAGCTCCACCAAAACTAAGCATCTCCCTGGGTATTATGTATCATCCAATACTCCACCTCCTCAACTGATGTGGAGAGAGTGGAGAGTTTTCCATACCTGAGCAGTGTGCTTATGACCAGCTCTGGTTTGGCAGCTCCTCAGCCCGATCAACACTATCAGCTCAAGAAAGCTGCACTTGTGGCAATTTTGTTTTTGTCATTTAGAGCACCAACTCAAAGAGTTGAGAAAATGTTGCCATCTTACGTTCACACAAATTAGGACATTGAAATGACACTACAATTAATGAATATAAGTGTGTGTGCATCTGTCTGTATGCATGTGTGTGTGTGTTTGTACCAGGGGAGCCCGTAATTGTGAACTGTCATTTGACTATCACGGAGTTCGGTTCTATCGAGGAGAGCACAATGGTGAGTGATACCCACACACCACACTCACGCACGCGCAGGGATCAGTGCAGCGAATCATCGATTAACACAGTAGACGCGTTCCTGAAATGTTACACGTTAAGCGAAACACCTTTTGAGCGAAAACAATTTCCCCCTAAATAAAGGTGCACACGATGTATGCAGACTCACAGGAGTGAGATGGCGGGACACAGAACTGAGGGTGCACCACCACCACCACGTTACCGTGTCACTCCGCGTACTCTATCACTTCACCAAGTCGCGTTGTAACGGTGTGCGCGTTGTAGCGGTGTACGTAATTTTATTATGTTTTATTTTTATTATGTTATTATTTCCTTTCTACGTGACTTTACCGAAAGAACCAAGAAGGTGTATGCATTATAACGGTGTACACGTTCCGCATTATATAAGGGTGTACGTGTATCTCGTTATAACGGTGTACCTGTTATAATGGTGTACACGTTCTGCCTTATAACTGTGTATGCATTCCACGTTATAACGGTGTACACACGTTCCGCGTTATAACGGTGCACATTCCACGTCGTGCGAAAACTGTTCCCTAATGGAAGAACCGCGTTCTAGCGAAAACGTGTTCATGTATGTTGCCGCTGTGATGTACTCAGTGTTCTTTATTAATGAAAAGCAAGAGAGACTGGGCTACAGAGAGACTGGACTACAGAGAGACTGGGCTATAGATAGAGTGGGCTAGGAGAGACTGGGCTACAGAGAGACTGGGCTATAGATAGAGTGGGCTAGGAGAGACTGGGCTACAGAGAGACTGGGCTATAGATAGAGTGGGCTAGGAGAGACTGGGCTACAGAGAGACTGGGCTACAGAAATAATGGGTTACAGAGAGACTGGGCTATAGATATAGTGGGCTAGGAGAGACTGGGCTACAGAGAGACTGGGCTACAGAGAAACTGAGCTAGATTAATTTATGATTTATCCAAAATCCTGCTGTATTTAAATAACTCTGTGGTTCTTTCGACAAAGTCACGTGGTTATAAAATAAAACAAATCACGACGTTTCGGGCGCAACACAAGCGTCCGTCATCAAGTGGGAAAACATGGTTTCCCAGCTGATGACGGACGTCGTGATTTTTTTAATTTTCATTTTATACCCACGTGACTTTACCGAAAGAATAAAAAAATATGGATTCCTGCAGTCACGAAAGCTTCAAATCAAGATTGTATTTAAATTCTCCTTGGCATCTCGCGTCTGGGGCGGTGGGGGGTTGGTGGCAGGAGTACCAAATCATGGTCCACCAGGGCATGGAGTGGACGGACCCCCGCTTGGTGCACAAGACGGGCAACGGTAATTCGACGTGGGTGGACCCAGGCAACCGCCTGATGGGCTCCATCTGGAAGCCGCGGCTGCACTACTCGAATGAGAAGCGTGGTAGCTTCCACGACATCACCATGCCCAACGCACTGCTGCGCATCTTCAACAACGGCACCGTCTCCTACTCCATCCGGTCGGTCCCCACGTGGCGTGCGAGCGTGCAGGCGGCCATTAATCTTCCCGCAACTACGTCCGGAGCCGCTTTTGTCGAGGAGCTTTGTGTTGTTGTTGGGTGGGAGGGGGGGGCAATAGTGGGAGGCTTCTTTGCCTGTTAACTACAACAACAAACAACATTAAATTGTTTACTTCATGAAGGGGTGGGACGGATGGCGGTATAGGGGTTGGGACTCCCCTGGGGCCCCTGGCCCCCCCTTTATCTGGTCACGTGTCCTGTTGGGTTCACGCAGAAGGTCACGGCCCGATACGACCCCCGTGACACCTGCTTAGAGCCCAGAGGTCGCAAACGGGTTTTGATTCCTTACCCCCTGTACCCGTACCCGGCCGCACCAGGGTCGCAAACGGGTACCCGTACCCGGCCGTACCCGTACCCTACCCGTACCCGGCCGTACCCGTACCCTACCCGATACCCGGCCGGGTACAGGTATCGCGTACCCGATTGCGACCTCTGGGATGAAGCCATGTTGCAGGCACGGGTGGATTGATTCGAGGAACTTGAATTGTGAGAAGAGACAAGACGTTGGGAAATGAGTGACAAACAGTGACTCACCAGTGACTCATGGCCTACCCGTACCCGTACCCGGCTGCACCAGGGTCGCAAACGGGTACCCGTACCCGGCCGGGTACAGGTAGCCGGGTATCGGGTAGGGTACGGGTATCGGGTACCCGGTTGCAACCTCTGCTACAGCCCCCATACTGAGCCAATACAGTGTAGTGTCGTTCTACTACACCACAAATGCATGACGTGTCGTCACGTGTGAGCCAATCTGGGGGGAACACTGGAGGGGAGGGGACAAGACGTGTGTCTCTTTTGTTGCTTGGACATCTGAACAGCTCCTGTAGTATTGCCGGAAAGGGTAAAGCAGCCTATTATTATGCTTTTCATCAAATTGGCTTCTCATTTGGACTATTTATAGCATCAAAATAGTCTAAACGTATGCTCATTATAAATGTGGTAGGAGAAAAATCCACGCGACCACTGGGAGAGAGAGAGATGCCTACTCCAAATATACAGCAGCAGGCGTCATCAGAGTCGGAATCGTACTCACGACCTCCTGCATACGAGGCAAGATAGTTAACATCTCCTAGCCACCGTGGTGATGATGATGAGAGAGACACACAAACTCCAAATATACAGCAGGTGTCAGGGTCAGGATCGAACCCACAAACTCCTTCATACGAGGTAACGTCATTATCATCTCATAGCCACCGCGTCTGGTATCTATGTGTGTGTTGTATCTGTGTGTTGTGTCTGTGGGAAGCGGTAGTGTAGCGGTTAACGCGCTGCGCTCCTAACCTGCGACCCAGGTTCGATTCCCGCTCACGGCCAACACCAGTGACAATGATCTGAACTGGTCCTGGGCCTAGGTCGATTAGTGTGGTGTGTAAACATCGTCACTAGGGAGACAAAGGCGGCCGGGCGTGATGTTGGCTACTCACCCCCTCATGTGCCATGTCAGCCTTCATAGGTGCTTGCTAACAGCGCTTGCCCAACAATCTGTTAAGGCTATACAGGGGATCTTTGTTTTTTGTGTGTCTGTGTGTGTGTGGTCTCAAGGTGCACATGGACTGGCACAAGCGTCGTGGTGACGTCACCGCCACTTAGTGGCGAATGGCGGTTGTTGTTGTTGTGTCTCTGTGTGTGTTGTGTGCCCTACACGTTGTTGTATGAAGAGGAGCACGCGGCCCCTTTCTCTTCCACGTTTCTCCGCAGGCTCTCTCTGACTCTCGCCTGCCCCATGGATCTGCGCAACTTCCCCATGGACACCCAGATCTGCCCCATCTACCTGGAAAGCTGTAAGATTTCGCACGCGCGGAGATGTTCCACCGTTGCGTACCATCGCTGGGGGGAGGGAGGGTTGGGTGTTTGTATTTTGCAGAAGGCAAATGCCACGTGGAAGGCTGCCATTTTAAGGGCACCATGGTTGGCGAGGAGGTGTTACTGTAACTAATTCTAGATATGAAGCTTTCGTGACTGCAAGGATTCATACTCTTAGGTTTTTTTCGGTAAAGTCACGTAAGTAAAAAAATATATGTATATAATAATAATAAAAAATAATAATAAATGAAAATAACTCAATTAAATCACGACGTTTCAGAGGCAACACAAGTCTCCGTTTTCAGGTGGGACCGTCACAGCTAAAAAAATATATATTTTTACCTACGTGACTTTACCGACAAAAAATAAGAGTAGGTGTTAACTACCTCGCCTGGCATACTGGAGGTTGTGTGTTTGATTCCGACGCCTGCTGCTGTATATTTGGAGTTTACTTTCCTCTCTCTCCCCGTGGCCACGTGGATGTTGTCTCTGGGTGCCTCTGGTTTCTTCCCCTCCGCATTTAGAATTAGAGTCACAACACGTTTAGAGCATAATCAACGTTTTTGGGTTTAGATCGCGTTATTTATAAATGTGTCGTAACCCTCCACCACCTGACACGGCCAATCAGTAAAAAAGTGTCACGTTGACAAAAGACAAATAGTTCACTGCTTTAGCCCACCGGTGTGTTGAAGCCACAACATTTACAATTTGAGTTGTACGACGTTTCGCTCAAATTGTAAATGTTGTGGCTTCAACACACCGGTGGGGGCTAAAGCAGTGAACTATTTGTCTTTTGTCAACGTGACACTTTTTTACTGATTGGCCGTGTCGGGTGGTGGAGGGTTACGACACATTTATAAATAACGCGATCTAAACCCAAAAACGTTGATTATGAATAACATTGGTCGCGAAAGCCTGCCACGTGTTAAACTGACGTTTAGAGCACTTGGCAGACAAAAGTTTCCACGCGGCGAGCCACTCCGTCATCACGTGTGACGGCGGCAATGGTCGCTTCTGCCAAAAAGAGCTACATTGCGGCTTTGCTCTCCAACACACCGGTCACGAATTGGCATGTTTTGCTTACCTTACTAATTGGCTGTGTCGGGTGGTGGCGGGTTTAACGACACATTTATATATTTACGCGATCTAACCCCCAAAATTTGGGTGGCCTTCTACCTTGGCATTAAAAAACAGTTGTAAAACAAACTTAACAAAGGGGGGGGGGGGTCCCCATAGACGTACTATGTCTGTACGATTGTGCTTTCATGCGTATGTTATGTATTTGTCGTCTCGAAGTCAGCAGCATGGTGAACGACCTCGAGTTCCGCTGGGCCACGCCAGAGGCGGTCTTGGTGTCTAAGTTCATCAGACTCAACGAGTTCTCGTTGGGGCCGCACATCATCGTCAAGAACGGCGCGCAGAATTACTCCGTCGGTGAGAGGCGCGGAACGACGGCATATCCTCGGCCTCTCTCGTCGGTCTCTCGCCCCCCCCCGAAAGTCGAGTTTGTATGTCCCCCTGTACTACAGAGTTAGTGAGTGAGTGGGGTTTGTATGATTTCCCCCTGTTCTACACAGGAAGTGAGTGAAATTCGTATGATGTCCCCCTGTACTACAGAGTGAGTGAGTGAGTGGGATTTGTATGATTTCCCTCTGTTCTACACAGGAAGTGAGTGGAATTCGTATGATGTCCCCCTGTACTACAGAGTGAGTGAGTGAGTGGGATTTGTATGATTTCCCTCTGTTCTACACAGGAAGTGAGTGGAATTCGTATGATGTCCCCCTGTACTACAGAGTGAGTGAGTGAGTGGGATTTGTATGATTTCCCTCTGTTCTACACAGGAAGTGAGTGGAATTCGTATGATGTCCCCCTGTACTACAGAGTGAGTGAGTGAGAGGAGTTCGTATGATCTCCCCCTGTTCTACAGAGTGAGTGGAGTTCGTATGATCTCCCCCTGTACTCCAGAGTGAGTGAGTGGAGTTTGTGTGATCTCCCCCTGTTCTACAGAGTGAGTGAGTGGAGTTTGTATGATCTCCCCCTGTACTACAGAGTGAGTGAGTGGGGTTTGTATGATCTCCTCCTGTACTACAGAGTGAGTGAGTGGGGTTTGTATGATCTCCCCCTGTACTACAGAGTGAGTGAGTGGAGTTTGTATGATGTCCCCCTGTACTACAGAGTGAGTGAGTGGGGTTTGTATGATCTCCCCCTGTTCTACAGAGTGAGTGAGTGGGGTTTGTATGATCTCCCCCTGTTCTACAGAGTGAGTGAGTGGAGTTTGTATGACCTCCCCCTGTTCTACAGAGTGAGTGAGTGGAGTTTGTATGATCTCCCCCTGTACTACAGAGTGAGTGAGTGGAGTTTGTATGATCTCTCCCTGTTCTACAGAGTGAGTGAGTGGAGTTTGTATGATCTCCCCCTGTACTACAGAGTGAGTGAGTGGAGTTTGTATGATCTCCCCCTGTTCTACAGAGTGAGTGAGTTGGGTTTGTATGATCTCCCCCTGTACTACAGAGTGAGTTAGTGGAGTTTGTATGATCTCCCCCTGTTCTACAGAGTGAGTGAGTGGAGTTTGTATGATCTCCCCCTGTACTACAGAGTGAGTGAGTGGAGTTTGTATGACCTCCCCCTGTTCTACAGAGTGAGTGAGTGGAGTTTGTATGATCTCCCCCTGTACTACAGAGTGAGTGAGTGGAGTTTGTATGATCTCCCCCTGTTCTACAGAGTGAGTGAGTGGAGTTTGTATGATCTCCCCCTGTACTACAGAGTGAGTGAGTGGAGTTTGTATGATCTCCCCCTGTTCTACAGAGTGAGTGAGTGGAGTTTGTATGATCTCCCGCCTGTACTCCAGAGTGAATGGGGTTTGTATGATCTCCCCCTGTACTCCAGAGTGAGTGAGTGGAGTTTGTATGATCTCCCCCTGTACTCCAGAGTGAGTGGGGTTTGTATGATCTCCCCCTGTACTCCAGCGTGAGTGAGTGAAGTTTGTGTGATCTCCTCCCCTCTTGTTACGACCACCCTCAACACTCTCACCACTCTAACGCTTCTAAGACACGACGGGGAGGGGGGGGTTAATAGTGTTCGTGAAAAGCAGAGAGAGAGAGCATCGATGGTGGCGACCCAGGCAGAAATGAAATGCTGGGAATGCTGGGTAATCACACCCGAACAACCACCGCCATTTATCACGCGGTCGTTGAACTTACGACTTCTCGTTTACGTGACAACGCTTACTAGTTGGCTGTGTCGGGTGGTGGCGGTTTAATGACACATTTATATATTTACGCGATCTAACCCCCAATAAATACCTCTATTATGGATGATATTGGTCGCGAAAGGCTACGTGTTAAAATGATTTGTTCGTATCTGTTGAATGTTCGAATGTTCGTAAGCAGTGTCCCTGCACATCAAAGTATTGTTATAAATTATTACGTTTTCATGATTGTAAAGCGAAAGTGGAATGTACGTATAACCTTGAATTACGAGGACGTATCCTTAATTTTTTCAACAGGCAACTGGAACTACGGGAAAGGGATTGTTCATATCTTTAAACGTTCGTAAGTTGAAAGCGTCCCTGGAAACGTCATTCTGACTTTGGCCTCTTCCTCCACCCACCCATCGCATCCCTCCACCCACCCCTCCACTCACCCCTCCTACCCACCCATCCCACTCACCCATCCCACTCACCCATCCCACCCACCCATCTCACCCACCCCTCCATCCATCAATCCCTCCACCCACCCACCCCCCACACACCCCCCCCACCCACCCCTCCACCCACCCCTCCACACACCCCTCCACCCACCCCCCACCCCAGGCACATACTCGCAAATCTCCGTCACATTCTCACTGCACAGGGAGACTGGCTTCTACGTCATCCAGATCTACGCTCCCAGCACCCTCATCGTGGTCGTGTCGTGGCTCTCCTCCTGGATGAAGACACAGGCGATGGTGGCGCGCGTGGCGCTGGGCATCACCACAGTTCTCACCATGACCACGCAGATCAGCGGCTCGCGTTTCTCCCTGCCCAAGGTGATTGGTGGGGGAGATGGAGTTGGGGTGGTGTGGGTGGGTCAGAGCCGGCCCTAGACCTTTGGGGGCCCTAAGCAAAATTTGGTTGGAGGCCCCTTTGACCATGTTAAGTAAGGCCTACTAGCTAGCAGTGACTCTGGGGGGCCCTCTGCTGGCCACGGGGCCCTTTGCAATTGCAAGGGTCGCTTGGTGGCTTGGCCGGCTCTGGGGTGGGTAAGTGGGTGGGTGGGTGGGTGGATGGGGATGATGCGTGAAGAACACCGCAGAGGCTGGGCAGTTTCAGGCGGTCACCCTCCGGCAATAACGGAGAGGCAGAGGAGCGATGCTCACAACAATGAGCCAACGCAGCGAGTTGGCTTAGTGGGGGGCACATCTGGTGGTGGTGCATCTGCCGGTCATCTCAGTCAGCCAACCTATGGCACCTGCTGGGTTTGTCCTGAAACCTCCTCCTGCACCTAGCCTGGCACAGTAGGGGGTACAGCTGGTGGTGCATCTGCCGGTCATCTCAGTCAGCCAACCCATGGCACCTGCTGGGTTTGTCCTGAAACCTCCTCCTGCACCTAGACTGACACAGTAGGGGGTACAGGTGGTGCATCTGCCGGTCATCTCAGCCAACCCATGGCACCTGCTGGGTTTGTCCCGAAACCTCCTCCTGCACCTAGCCTGGCACAGTAGGGGGTACAGGTGGTGCATCTGCCGGTCATCTCAGCCAACCCATGGCACCTGCTGGGTTTGTCCTGAAACCTCCTCCTGCACCTAGCCTGGCACAGTAGGGGGTACAGGTGGTGCATCTGCCGGTCATCTCAGCCAACCTATGGCACCTGCTGGGTTTGTCCCGAAACCTCCTCCTGCACCAAGCCTGGGCATCGGTGGGTGCAGCGTTTAGCGCTACGCTGCGCTACGAACCTGGTGACCCGAGTTCAATTCCCACTCACGGCCAACACCATCGGTGACGATGATTTGAACCGGTCCTGTCGCCCCGCGCCCTCCACCCCGCGCCCAGCTCTCCTACATCACGGCCATGGACATCTGGATGACCACGTGCCTGGTGTTCGTCTTCTCCGCGCTGCTCGAGTCCGTGCTGGTCTCCGTGCTCGAGCAGAAGGAGGGAACGGCAGCACAGAAGCAGCAGCAGCAGCAGAAGCAGCAGCAGCAGATGCAGCAGCAGCAGACGCAGGTGTCTGCACGTCAGGTGAAGCAATCGTTTCATCATCATCAGCAGCAGCAGCAGCATCAGCAGAATCAGCATCAGCACAATCATCAGCATCATCATCAGCAGCATCATGAGCAGAATCATCAGCAGCAAAATTATCAGCAGCATCAGCAAAATCATCAACAGCATCGGCAGAATCATCAGCATCATTAGCAGAATCATCATGAGCAGCATCATCATCAGCAGCAGCATCCGCAGCAGCATCAGCAAAATCATCAGCAGCATCGGCAGAATCATCAGCATCATCATCAGTATCATCATCAGCATCATCATCATCAGCATCATCATCAGCATAATCAGTATCAGCATCATCAGCATCAGCATCATCATCAGCATCACCATCATCAGCATCATCATCATCAGCATCATCATCAGCAGCATCAGCAGCAGCATCAGCATCATTATCAGCATCATTATCAGCATCATCATCAGCAGCATCATCATCAGCATCATCATCATCAGCATCATCAGCAGCATCATCAACAGCAGCATCATCGTCAGCATCATCATCAGCATCATCATCATCAGCATCATCATCATCATCAGCAGCATCAGCATCATCATCATCAGCATCATCATCATCAGCAGCAGCATTATCAGCAGCATCATCCGCAGCAGCATCCGCAGCATCATCAGCAGCATCATCAGCAGCATCATCAGCAGCAGCATCAGCAAAATCATCAGCAGCATCGGCAGAATCATCAGCATCAGCATCATTATCAACAGCATCATCCGCAGCATCAGCAGCATCATCTCCCCTCCACCGTCCCCCGCTACCCCCCCCCCCCCGTGTGTCCCAGGTGAGCGAGGAGGAATCGTCGGAGCGAGCCGCTCGCCTGGACGCAGCTTCCCGCGTCGTCCTCCCCGTCTCGTTCGCCCTCTTCAACCTCCACTACTGGCTCGTGTTCTACGTGGCCCTGCAGCGTTGACGAGTTCCGTGGCCAGGGGCAGGCGGGCAGGCGGGCAGGCGGGCAGGCGATTTCTCTGTGTGTGTGTGTGTGTTGCCAGGCTGTTGGGGGGAGCTATTTGTTCCGTTGTTGGGAGTGTGATGAGTGCACGCTTTGGATGTTGTCCTTGCTGCTAGGCCACAACAAAGTTATACGCACTGCTCGTTGTTGTTGGTGTTGTTGTTGTTGCGGTTGTTGTGTTTAGTTTGTTGTCCTTCGACCCGCACCTCCGATTAGCTACGGTTGACTCCGTGTGGTGCGAAATAAGTTCAACATACGCTACGCTATACACTACACTATACACTACACTATACACTACACTATACACTACACTATACACTACACTATACACTACACTACACTATACACTACTACACTATACACTACTATACACTACACTACACACTACACTTTACACGACACTATACACTACACTATACACTACACTATACACTACGCTATACACTACACTATACACTACGCTATACACTACACTATACACTACACTATACACTACTATACACTACACTATACACTACACTATACACTACGCTATACACTACACTATACACTATGCTATACACGACACTATACACTACACTATACACTACGCTATACACGACACTGGTATACACTTTAATGTTATATACTACACTATACACTACACCACTATACTACTATACACTACACTGTTATGCACTTCACATACACTACACTGCCATACACTACACGATATACTACACAACTATACACTACACTATTATACACTACACCACTCTGTTATACACTATACAATACACTACACTATACACTACTATACACTACGCTATTATATACTATACGCTGCACCACTATACTACTATACACTACACTATACACTACGCTACACACTACACTGTTATACACTACACTAGAATATACTACGCTATACACTACACTATACACTACGCTACACACTACACTGTTATACACTACACTAGAATATACTACGCTATACACTACACTATACACTACACTACCATATACTACACTATAGACTACTATACACTACACCACACCACTATACTACACTGATAACTAATTTCTATATCACCGCTTGCTGTTTTGTCGTGTTTAGTTTGTTGTACTCCTAGACTACACTATTATATACTATTGTACCACTATAGTTTTGTAGTATTGAATAAAACTACTATACACTACACTATATACTGCACAACTATATGCTACACTATACACTACACTATTATACACGACACTACTACACATGACACTATTACACACTACACTTTACACTACTATACACAACACTATATGCTACACTTTACACTACTATACACAACACTATACACTACACTACACCACTTTACTACACTGAGAACTAATTTCTCAATAACCGCTTGTTGTTGTTGTTGTGTTCAGTTTTTTGTCCTTCCCTTGCACCTATGAGCACAGTTATCTACGTACGGTGCGAAAGAAATCCAACGTACACACACGCATACATACGTATGGGCATTCCTCGATTTACGAACTCCCAATTTACGACCTTTGAATGAGTTGTGAGCCAATCACGTGCGAAGACCAGAGGGGGGCGGGTTAATGTTTTCATATAAATTACAATGGATGTATATTATTGGTTGCGTTATTCACAGTTAGTAAACATACATAATGTTTTACATTACGCATGCATATTACACGACGCATATTTACGCGATCTAACCCCCCCAAAAAACCTATACTATGGATAATATTGGTCTTAAAAGCCTACTACTACTACATGTTAAACTGAAATTTGGGCAAGCTATAAGCCTGGTAACAGATTAGTTGAGCTTTAATATTGCAGGGACTCCTCTACTTACGAATGAGTTAGGTTCCAGCGTTCGATTCGTAAGTCGATTTGTTCGTAAGTTCAACTTTACATCCTGGCAATTCCAAATGCAATGTACGGCATGCACACTAAACACGGGGGGTGGCATTAAAAGTTGTAGAATCTCCTGTAGATGTAGATGCCACTGGTTCTTCACGTTCTGCAGATGTAGATGCCACTGGTTCTTCACGTTCTACAGATGTAGATGTCACCACCACCATTTATTGCACGGCGGTTGAACTTACGACTCTCGGTCCAAATAGGTAAGTTTGTTCGTATCTCTGTAAGTTCGTAAGTCGAATGTTCATAAGTAGAGGAGCCCCTGTAATCCAGAGTGTGAATCTACAGAACAAGCACCAATTACATGTGCAGCTGGCACTCCTCTCACCAAACACGCGGAGACAGGCAAGGTTCAAGTTAATTTATTTCACCCCAGTAACACACACAGCTCCCTCCTTCATCCACAGCTCCCTCCTTCATCCACAGCTCTCTCCTTCATCCACAGCTCCCTCCTTCATCCACAGCTCCCTCCTTCATCCACAGCTCCCTCCTTCATCCACAGCTCCCTCCTTCATCCACAGCTCTCTCCTTCACCCACAGCTCTCTCCTTCATCCACAGCTCCTTCCTTCATCCACAGCTCTCACCTTCATCCACAACTCCCTCCTTCATCCACAGCTCTCTCCTTCATCCACAGCTCCCTCCTTCATCTACAGCTCCCTCCTTCATCCACAGCTCCCTCCTTCATCCACAGCTTTCTCCTTCATCCACAGCTCCCTCCTTCATCCACAGCTCCCTCCTTCATCCACAGCTCCCTCCTTGGTCCACAGCTTTCTCCTTCATCCAAAGCTCCCTCCTTTATCCACAGCTCTTTCCTTTATCCACAGCTCCCTCCTTCATCCACAGCTTCCATCATCCACAGCGTTCTCCTTCATCCACAGCTCTTTTCTTCATCCACAGCTTTCTCCTTCATCCACAGCTCCCTCCTTCATCCACAGCTCCCTCCTTCATCTGCAGCTCCCTCCTTCATCCACAGCTCCCTCCTTCATCCACAGCTCCCTCCTTCATCCACAGCTCCCTCCTTCATCCACAGCTCCCTCCTTCATCCACAGCTCCCTCCTTCATCCACAGCTCTCTCCTCCCGTCCATCCTCCATCGTGCTGTTATATCTGCCATTTTCTCCCCTTTATCCCCCCTTTGTTACCTCATCCGAAGTGGCCGATCACATATCATCATATCTCGGACCACGTCTCCTTATCTCCCCACATCTCCTCATAATGTACCGTCACGGTAATATTTTTTTGGTTCGGTGTTACCACGAAGACCGAGTGAGAAAGTGGGTGCCGTGGAATTCATACAGAAGGGTTGAGAAGCACTGCTTTTTAAATCCTTTAAATTAAGTTTACTTGCTTGCTTGCTTGCGTGCTTGCTTGCTTGCTTACGACCGTGCAAATCTTTCGGTCGTTTTTTAACCCACTTCCCGTGATCCAATCGAGCTGACATTTTGCACACAGACTCGTTGTGCGAGACAATTTATTTTCGTGAAAATTTTTTTCCAAAATTTTCCACTTTTTAGGAAAAAAATTTCAAATACCAATGTGATAAAAATGAAACTCTTACTCAAGAAAAACAGAAATGAATAATAAAATAAAACCGATGCCACGCATATAAAGGATTTATAGTGGAAAACTTTGTTTTTACGGGTTAATTTTTTAGGGTTACGCTGTAAATCTACCAAACGTCCTGCTTCAACATGGACAGTTACCGCTCCCACCCAGTGGGTTTCTGAAAGGCTCGGGGGGGGGGGGGTAAAAAGAACGGAGAAACCCGAACCCCTGACTCTTGCAGAACAGGAGGAGAGCGTACAAACTCCACACAGGAAAACGAAAAAAATTAACCCGTAAAAACAAAGTTTTTCACTATAAATCCTTTATATGCGTGGCATCGGGGCGGCTAGAGTCCTCTCGTCCTCTGGCTTGAGATGGCTGCCACCTATGGGTCAGATGATTGTGTGCCAGCATTAACCAATTGGTAAATAAATATGTAACATTTTTTTCCCTAAACAGTATAAAATTTTGGAAAACATTTTTCACGAAAATTCATTGTCACGCACAACGAATCTGTGTGCAAAATGTCTGCTCGATTGGATCACGGGAAGTGGGTTAAAAAACGACCGAAATATTTGCATGGTCCTTAATATAAAGGATTTAAAAAGAGAGGGAGCACCCGAATCGGCAATCAAACTCGGGTCAATGATTGCAGGGAAGTCACGAGTGATTTGGGGGAGGTCGTGGGTTGGATCCCGACCCTGACCGCCTGCTGTATATTTGGAGTTTGCGTGTCCCTCTCTCTGTGTTGTGTCTCTATGGATCCCTCGAATAGCCTGAACAGACTGTTGAGGAAAGTGCTGTTGGTGAGCACCTATGAAGGCCAGAACAGCACACGAGTGGGTGGGGTGACCAGCACCACGCCCGGGCGCATTTGTCTCCCCAGTTGCGATGCTTACACACCACACCACGTAGTCATTTGAGGCTGAGTCGATCTATAAGGGACCCAGGACCGGTTCAGATAATCGTTACTGGTGTTGGCTGTGAGCAGGAATCAAACTCGGGCCGCAGGGTTCGTCGTGCAGCGTGCTAACTGCTACACTACTGCTCCCCACAAAAAAAAACACACAGAGAGACAGCAGCCGTGGTGGCTAGGATATGTTAACTACCTCGCCTAGTACGCAAGAGTTCGTGGCAGGGTTGCGATTTCCGCATGGAAAATGCGGAAGGAGGGTTCAAATTTTCCCGCATTTTTGCTAAAGTCAACCGCAAACGGTGGAAAGACTACTCCTATGACCGCGCGCTTTTAACAACACGTTAATGCGTTCTATTGGAAAGGATACATGCAAGGCCCAGCATCACGTAGGGCTTTGAGTTACTGATTGGAATGAATATATGATTTCCGCATTTCCGCACAAGAACCACATACTTTATTCAAATGCGGAGCCGTGATTACGAGCACATGTACATGATGTATCCTTTCCAATAGAACGCATTAACGTGTTGTTAAAAGCGCGCGGTCATAGGAGTAGTCTTTCCACCGTTTGCGGTTGACTTTAGCAAAAATGCGGGA